TTAAGATATTTCCTGTCGGTCTCGACTGGAGTCTAAAAAGGCGAAGGGTTCGTGAGGAAGTTGAGGGTACAAGCATAGACAAGCGTATACTTGGCAGCACGGATATTACTCACATTCGCTTCCTTTGCCCCGCTCATCGTTCCTGCATATCAATCCGAGACCTGAGCCGATAATTCAAGCACCATAACCGCAATTCGACCTACAGTTTTTTGCTACAATTCCCCGAATGTGCCGTTCTATTGTTCGCTGATAGAGGGGATTGCGATACAGCAGGACTTGGCTCAAGCTGGCTCAGGCCAGCCAAGAATCATATGTCTATCCAAAATTGGAAACAACGGTCCTTTCATCGCACCACGTGATCCGGCGCGTGCCGAACCACGCGTACCTGGCGGGAAAAAGGCAAAACCTTCGTGGGCGTGTGTTTCAGGCAATAAATTAACTGGAACGGTGGAGGGGAGCAACACGATTGAATACCTGAACATTGTTTTCTCGTGCCCTTTGATCAGCGATCAAGAATATGGGCGAAATTTTGTCCAGGAAAGAGTCAGGGGGGGAAGGACGGTAGGGAAACACATGAGTCCCAGTGCCGCCCCACAACATAAGAGATGTAATATAACAGTTCGTCTAGTTGCCGGTGACTCCTTGTCATCGATTCCGGCCCCCTTTTAGGGACCTTCTCTCGTGAAATCATGCCCAGCAAAGGTCCAAAGGATCATCCTTCAGCACCATTGCGTACACGTCCGCGGCAAGTACGCGCAAGTATGTAAGCCTCCGCGTCAACTGTCGCATCTGAGTCTTGCCGGAAACGGCGGCGCCAAGAGAACAGTGGCCAGCCGTCGCACTAAGTAGGGGTCCTACTGTCGTTGGCGGTGTGGCTGAAGGCGGTCCCTGACCGCCCCTCACTGACCTAAGGGAAACCTGCACCCTCTGGGTCGTTTAGGATCTGGGCACGACTCCTGCTTAGCGGCCAGCGAGCTAACGACAGTGATTTACTCACCTTATGTCGCACGACGTTTACGTAGCGACAGCAGTGCACGTCAGTCCTACATAGCATTCCAGATAAAGGGCTACCAAAGGGTCCAACCAAATGCGGTCTGAGCCTTGCAGCAATGCTAAAGCTCCACAAAGCGAGGGTGATTGTCCCAGACGACGCCCAAAACCGTGGTCCTGCACCAGGTAATTACCCCCCTCCTGACTAGAGACGCTTTCACAATAGTGATGTATAGCAGCAGCAAGCGGAACAGGATGTGAAATTGTGCGCGGAAGGAATGTTGGAGTGAGGGATCTTGACTAGGGATGTCAATAAGAGCACAGAGTGTGTATCATTGTAGCACTTACCAAAAAAGCGGTCTCTTTTACGACCATGCTTGCCGTCCCGATATCCCCCTCCGCGAGCCACTTCACCTCAGGACGGCACGTTGACTGTCGACCCGAAGAAAGCATATGTGTCGAGTGATCCCGTGACTACTCCTCGTCCTCCACACTCCAATCCGTCCCAATTCCGCGTAGACCTCTTTCAGCTGGTGCCTGGACTCCAATCTACTGTAGATCAGACCACATAGCTTCTCTCCAGAGCTCCGAATGTCCGGAGGGTCGTAAGCGATGACAGCCAGTCTGAGCCAGTCACTCCTGCGGCTGATAATGTCGATGAATTCGTTGTTCAGAGTGTCGAGGACGATGGATGGACCTTAGATTTTCAAGTTCCTGGTACATTAGCCAAACCGCATCAATGCTGCTGCACTTGAGGTTGGTGGGTGTAAGCGCTCTCCAGACCCTTGGGGGCTGGGCGAAGTGCCACCTACACTATGTACGACGGTGGTTGGGCCTACAAGATTCCATGCAACGTCCGATAAATCGTCGAGAGGGAGATACAGAGGAAGGTTGGCGAGAGAAGGCGTTGCTAGCCGGCGGAGGAGCCCAATTATATAAAAAAACTCAACATTCTCCAGAGAACGAAGGGCTATCACACGGCATCGACCATAGTGGGGTGTTTGTCCTCGGGATTTCCAGCCGGCCCCGAGCGCTTCCACCAGAGGCTCTCAATGCGCGGAAGCCCTTGCAGCATGTGCATGAAGGGTTGATGCGACTCAAGTTGGCTCCGCCTGCAAGTCACCCCTGCACCCAATGGATAGAATAGGCTCCAATCAGTGCGAGATCCGACATTCGTGACGCTGCGCCACCAAAGAGGGTGAGGTGAGTAGCTGATGATAAAGCAGCCGTGTCAGAACCGCTCATCGCACCGATTATAACTATCGTACTCCAGGACAAGAGAAGTCTTCTCACTATAATCTGGGTACGGTGATGTGGATATGAACATCGCAATGATTATAAAGACGGTATCGCGCTCACCGTCACCTACTGCTAGCTTTTTCCGAGTCCGCGGGTCCGGTTGACGGGGTTTCCCGTGATATTCCGACGGAAACCTAATCCCTAGAACCTCTATCTGGGAGCGCCCAGTGTCCTCGTAGCGGATGTAACCGCCGTCTCGTAGACGATTGGGGTGAACAAACGGATATAGTGATATGTGAGCTGCAATCCCATCCTCGCCATCTTTGCTCACAGAATGTGGCGTCAAACAGCCCAATTGTTTACTATTGCTTACCAAGGACCTGAAGCTGAAACACAGGCAAACAACTAAACAATAATGCTGTAGCTTTTGGCGGCCCGCTCGGAGGTCAGCTCGAAACTCGATCTGAGTGCAGTAACCCAGGCGCCAACCGATCATGTAGGCGACATATGCCACGTCCATCTAGCAGAAACGAGGACCCTTCCACCCATAATACGAGTCTTAGTATATTGCCCATTGTGTAACCGTCACTCCAGGCTGGACTCCAGGAGCAATGATGACCGGCGTCCTCTGGCGACGCGTATCTTCAAAGGGGCCCATGACTGACGGCGTGCTCCAACTCTTCCACTTCCACTTTCCCTTGTCCAGTAGTGTCGAGCTTTGTGGTCACCATGTCTCCCCTGTGTTTCTCCCCACCCGATTCTGAAAACTGAATGGCCACCTCGTCGCCGAACTTCCCGTTGATCTCTTCCAGCGATAGCCCTTTCGTCTGAAAAATCCGGACGCATCCGTCAGTCACGCACATCACACAAATATCACAGAACCCCTACCTCCGGGAAGCACCACCATATCACGCTCGTATTAACCACCGTCAAACAGATAAACATCACATAATATCTCCATTTGATCGTCGCCAGCGCCGTTGGGCCCACCCCGAGGAATACAATCGTCGGGAGGAACGTCCCCGCCATCGAGACCGCCATTCCCTGCGAGCGGATGTGCGTCGGGAAAATCTCGGCGCAGTACACGAAGGACGTCGCGTCGATGCCACCCGCATAGAAGCAGATGAAGGTGAAGATGAAGAGGACGCCGAGGGAGTTGCCCGTGCGATTTGTGGTGCCGGCGTATAGCGCTTCCATGGCACACTCGAGGCCAAGGGTTACCATGCAGCCAATGAGGCCAACGACTGCTTGGCAGTTTAAGCATCGTACAAACTACAAGCCAGCAGACTTACGCAGTAGACGCACTCTTCCAACACGATCCATGATCAGGGACGCAACGAAGTTCGCCGCGGCGGCTACCGTAATGTATGCTGCGCCAAGCACAAGCACCATGCCGCCCGTGAGTCCCAGAGTCTTATACATACTGACCAAATAGCCTGTACAACATTGTTTTTAGTGGTGTGCGCAACGGGAGAAACGAGACGCATATGCACTGTACACAACCAGGGAACCGGTGGCCTGGGCGGCGTATTGCGTGAAGAATCCCATCCACATCCGTTTACGGTACGAGGGCTTCGTCAGTATTTGGCGCATGCCGCCGCCTGTTGCCCAAGCTTGAGAGTCCATATCCACTTGCGTGGCCATCTGGTGAAATTCCTGCTGCGCGAAGGATGATTTCTCGGAGTCTATTGTGGTGTCGATGTGCAATTTCGAGACGATCGCCCAGCTTTCTGCGCGGCGACCTTGCATTAGGACTGGCATGCAGAAGTCAAATTTGAGCTAGGTATTGCAAAATTACCGGGCACCTACGCCAGCGTGGCGATTCAGGCACCCACGGACTACAGCAGAGTAAGGCGAGGGGGCAAACACACTGGAGCGCCATGGAGAAACGCCACTGGAAACTCAGATTGGAAGAGTAGTACGTGCCAACACTTATCCAGTTGGCGGCGGCATTCGCAGATACGATCCACACACCTACAAGAGCGCTTATGAAATCGGCCAAATTGAGGGGAGATGGTTGGAGCGTACCGTGCTGGCCGACGAGAAGGCCTCTTGAAGAAGGCGGGGAGACTTCTGCTTGAAATATTGGAATCAAAACAACTAGCATCCCAACCCCCCACCCAGAGACGATACGTCCGACAAGGAACATGGCGGTATTCACCGCTCCTGCTAGCAACACACCTCCGAGGACAGAGATGACTGCAGCAACATTCATAGTGATCTTCCGGCCATACCTGTCGCTCATATACCCCGCTGTGAGCGCCCCAATCGTGCCTCCAGCAGAGAATATTCCGTTTATCGCCCCCGTTATCTCCTCGGCACGCGCTGGGTTGGTAGCGAGGTCGAAGTAGTCGAGGAAGCCCGGCTGCCCGAGGGTGTTTACCATGACACTGTGTGCATACCCATAGGTAAGGCTGCCGAGTGTGAGGATGAGGATGGTGCGTATATTATATGCGGAATAGTGCCTCATTGTGTCTGTGGGTTGTAGACAGCTAACAGGCGCTATGTGACTTCCGGGTGGACTCAATTGCTACTTACTAGTCTCACATGTCTAGGGGAGGCATGTCTTACGTTGCTGGCGAGCCGCGAGGTCACCTGGGTAGGGGAGGGTATTCTTGGACTGATGATGAGGTACCTGTTCGAGCACGTATCGGAGCAGAGGTGGAGAGACGAGTTTCACCAGGAGTCTTTGGGGTGGCTAGGAGTGCCACGAGACCGGTTACCGTACCTGATAGGAAGAAAGCTCAGGAGTGTAGAGTTCGGCAGCAATCCACGGTGGCCAGAAGGAACGTCCGCCTAAAAGAGAGTTACCGGGAAATACCGACTTATTGGTACAGTACTTGGGGTTGAGTTATTGTACAGACGCGATGTCTTATTGCGAAGCGTAGAAGAGGTACGCTGAGATGATATGAGATCAAAGGCATTAATGGCATACTATGCAGGTCTGTGATCATGCAATGAGGCAACCACTGCAACATCCACCATGGCTATCCTCGTCATCGCTGGTTTTTGCAGGTTTGGGACGGTTAGCATGCTGTTTGAGAAGAAACGTGAGTCGGTACGGGAGACCCAACAATGTCGCGCACTTTGTTTTTTCGTATCTCGCGGACAAGGTTTTCCATAACGTCGGTGACATGATCACCTTGCTTCGCAGAGCACTCCATAAATTTGCAGCCAAGCTCCAACGAGAGCTCGCGTCCTTCTGCGCCAAGTAGTGTCGGGTTACCCAAGACAGAAGTAAAGCAACACACCCGTCATACCCACCCGGCGCTGAAACACATCGTCACACTTGTTTGCGACAAGTATGATGTTTTGCGTCCAGCCCGGACCTTTAGCATCGACAATCTCTTTATGGAGGATATGAGCATGGTCGAAAGTGGCGCGATCGGTGATGGAATACAAGATGAGGAAGCCATCCGAACCCTTGGCGAGCCTAGGCATGCTGCCCCGCGATACAGTCTTAACATGGGTTGCACGGCGCAGGGATTAAGGAGGACCGTACTTGTTATGATCCGAAGAGAACATCGTAGTGTAGACAAGTAGTCTGGCAGCCTCGCCATCGATCATGATTGCAGGGTGTAGGTTACACTCATTGTCTGTACATATGTTCGTGGATCAGCTTCTAGGAATGTAGCAGGAAATGACGCCACAGACAGGAATCAGACGACTCGGGTTTATAATCGCAATATGGGAAGTTGTAGCACCCGCGAACATCGTTTCGGAGTCTCCAGAATTTGCGAAGCAACGTTTGTTTGCCCACTCCTGAATGTTAGACGTGAGGGGCAAGTGGCGTCGTAGGCGTGCGATGTGCTCACCTCTATCACGGCTCCCAGTCACGAGTATTTTATACTCTGGAATGGCAGAGCAGTCTGGCTAGAAAAGTGGCGCAATCAGGTGGGTGAGTGCGTTTCCGAGGCGGGTGGCTCCGAGTTGATGTTCAGCATACCTTCGTCATGTCGATTACAGCTAAGAAAGAGACGAATAGAAGAAGGAAAATATGAACAAGACATATTGCGGACCATATCGTTGATAGTTTATAAGTGGGTGAGCGGGAGGGCCAAGGCTGATTCCGCGACCACGAGTACCGCTTATTGGCCTCGTGTCATCGGTCTTTGCCTTTTGTCAATCGCAATCTCAGAGGCACTCAAGCCAATAATCCATCGAGGTCAGGAATGGACAATTGACCCGGGACATCCACGATCGGTTGGACTCATCAACCCACTATGTAACGCTGGCGCTTGGCTGGCGCAAAGCCATGATGGTCGTGGGATTGTTTCTGCGCGGTGGCCACATTTCCCGAGCTGGCTTTGGTGGAGGACTCATACCGGCTGGCACCTTCAATCAGGTCGCAACAGTAGTCACTGAGCACCTTCTGAAGCAAATTGCCCAGGGATATACATACCCAGGACCTTCAAGGACACCTGATGTGGACTTTGGCCTAAACGGAGCCCGACTCGGACACAATTACAAAATGATGCAAGTTCCAGCATACAACAAGTAAATGTGCGTTCTCAGAATTCACACATAAACGTTGTCTGGGCCGATAGATTTCTGGGTACGAGTGTCGAGGGGGATACAACGCCCAATCACCAGATTCGCCGCCGCGTGGTACTTTGCTTTGACCACACAGCCATGCCCCTTTGGTCTGGACCTTAGATGTGCGACGCTTTGGCGCTCCGCATCTGACTGGCGGCCAAAGCGGGCACTCTTGTACGACGGTAAGACATCAAGCAACTTCCGTTTGCAGGACCATCGTCACCCCACCGCACAATGCCCCCGAGGGAGTCCAAGACAAGCGTCAAAGCGTGCAAGGTCCAAAGCGATGGCCCGACGCAGGTATAAATTTCTTGGAGCAAGGCGGACAAAAGCCAACACAGAGAACAGATCGCACATCCTTGTCTCGCACCCAGCGTCCTACCATTTATCCACATTACTCCTCCAATCATTTTGCAAGATGAACCCATACCCCGCCCCCATCTTCGCATCAGCCGGCCCCGACATCTTCAACTTGTCCCTTGTACCATCGCCCTCTACGCTCCTTGCGGCTACATCGCGGCCGGTGAACGTGGCCCCCATGGCTGTCACACAAGTCCCAAAGAAGCAAAACCCCAGTCCTTTCGCAGTTTTCAAGCCACAAACACCGGCGAAAGCTGCTGCTTCTTCCGACGTAGAGATGGAGAGAAGCATACCCTCCAGCCCATTCGACATCTTCAAGCCCCACAAGTCCCGCCCTCCTCCTCTCGCGCTCGCACCCGCACCCGCAGTCGCCAACTTGCAGCTTATCGCCCCGGATCGTGCTAGATCCACGAGCGCGAACTCAGACTCGACGATCGACGAGTCCTCCATAGAGAGTCTCTACTCCATTGGGTGCAACTTCAACCCATCCGCCGCCAAGTCCTCCTTCTTTCGCCCTGACCAGGCCCCCTCTTTCATCCGCCCGAGTCTTGACAAACCCATCACCCCAGCAGATGTTGAGTGCTTCGCGGATGACATGCGCCAGTTCGACCTCAAAGGTACCTTCGTGCTCGATCCGCTGAGCGGAAACATCCGGTACATCGCACCTGGGATGGATGTCGACACAGAGAGGGAGGCCGCATACAAGGAGCGTGATGTGTTGGCGGGGCAGATCGGAGAGGAGCAGTTGGAGAAGCTACTTCGTTCGGGCAACGAGCGATTGATTAACGAGGCGAAGGAGATGATAGAGAGGAAGAAGGCACGCGCGGAGAACATGGTTTCCGAGGACATGTTTGGGGAGGAGACTGATACGGAGGAGGAAGAGGACGACTCGGATACAGATTTGAGCTATCTGATGGACTGTGACAGCGACTCGGACATGGAATCGGAGCCCGTGAGTCACCCTAGCCCTGCCTTGGAGGTCAATGGCACCTCTCCTGCCTCAGACGCCAACAGCCCCACTCCGGAAGCCAACGACACCCCTTCCCAAGGCGACTGCGGGTTGCGCCTAGGTCCCCGTGGCATGCTCATCCCGGCCGATCGATATGACGAGACAATCGCAGCCCTGAAAGCCGAAAACGTCCTCCCCGCGTGGAATCCCCGCGCTCGGCGCCAACACCAGTGGTTCTTTAAACCGAGCCCCTCCCAGCCTAGAAGTTAGTTCCATTCGCGATTCGGGTTGTCGATGTCCATAGTTGCGTCCCGAGCGACGAGCCCGGGACGCCTATATATTAGTAGTGATTATTCCATGCTCTCCACCTTCATGCTCTTATGCTCTCATTTTTTGATTACCTATGACCATATGTCCTTTCCTCGTACCTACATGTGCCATTGTGCTTTGTACTCTCTCGAATTCAAATTTTGCTTCTCTTCTCAAATGTCCAATGGGTCGATGCCGGGCTCACTACGGAGAAGGCCGATTGTGAGATCCCGTAACGCGAAACCAGTCGCGACGGTATTGAACGTGGGGTGGATCGGTCAGGGGTTATGGGTCCTGTAACGGAGATAAACCCAACACGAGCAGGCGGGCGAACGGTGGAATGGTTATGCTCTACACAACCACACAAGGCGGTTTATTACAAATTCTTGTACTTTTTCGATCGAGGAGAGCGACCCGGGCAGCATATCGGAAAACGTCTTGGACACCTTCGCCTGTTCTGGCTGAGCACTCTAGATAATGCATTGCACCTATCTTGTTTGCCACCACAAGGCCCTGGACGAGACGCACGCCGCAATATACAATAAAATCATGTGAGGAATGACGAAGGCGCGGAACACCTTGGAGCTAGGACTCGCCTCTTCGGGGGTGGTGGGGCGTGCGCCTGCCTTCCTGAGTTCTTCGATTGCTCGGGGATCACGCCTGAGATCTTTCTTGCACCCGACAACTATGATGGGCACCCCGGGGCAACAGTGCAGCACCTCGGCGATCCACTGTTGCGCCCAGATGTAGGCGTTACCGTCAGAATCTGCTGCGGCGCAACTAATGGTGAGCAGCGGAACGGACCTTTTCCACTACGTTTTCTAGAGAGTAGCTCGAGTCGACAGCGAAGCAGATGAGAATGACGTGCGAGTCAGGGTACCGCAGAGGTTGGAGTCGGTCGTAATCATCGTGTCCGGCGGTATCCCACAGAGAGAGCTTAACCTTCTTTCCGTCCACCTCCACGTCCGCTGAGTCATATACGGTCGGAACGCGCCCCTGCAGGCATGAAATCAAAGTCGCACACTAACCATGGAAAGTTGGCACTCGGTACCTCGGGGAACTTTCCCTTAGAGAAGGTGATCAACATACATGACTGCGATGGGCCATTATACTGTCAGTCTGTAGTCCTTTGTAGCAAGGGTTTAAGCGCAATTGTTTTACCTTGCCGCAAGCGCCATCCCCAACAACGACGAGTTTTCTTCTAATTTCAGCCGGCATTCAAGAGATCGTAGAAGATACGAAGAGCTTGAGCAGCCCTGTGAAAGGTGTCTGCAACGGTGATATTTTGGGAGTGAGACAGTCGCACTTTTGAGTGACTCACGATTGTGCGACGCAGGATGCCCCGCCGCTTATAATCACACACAACTTCGAGGGCGAACTTCGGATAAGATAAGGTTGTTATAGGCGAACTCTATGCGGACCAAATGCTGTGGGCCGCGAGGAATCATACATAACCCAGCTTCGAACCGAACATGTCACTGGAGACTACGGAATACATGGTACTTACACTTAACTATTTAATTTTGCGGCAGATTTCATATTTCACAACAGCAAGGACTCGCAAGCAGCAGAAAGCACACTATGAGGGCGGTCCAGCTTTAGTATCCCTTGGCGGATCTGTAAATTGAACGAAGGTCAGCTGGATCAGCTGGCGGAAATATATAACAGAAGAGGGTTGCCGCACCCCTTGTATCCCTTGCCGTTGTCGTATCCCTTGCCGTCGTCATATCCCTTTCCATCATGGTACCCCTTGCTGTCTGTGCGTCCCTTTCCATCATCCTTGTATCCCTTGCCTTCATCATATCCTTTCCCATCGCCCCGCCTGTAGTGACCTTTGCCATAGTCATGATCCTTCTCGCCATTGTGCCCTTTACCCCCGCCATGTCCTTTGTCACCATCGTGTCCCTTGCCGTCGTCGTATCCTTTCCTATCATCGTGCCCCTTGCCATAGTCGCCCCTCTTGACATATCCCTTGCCATAGTCGTGGCCCTTCCCGTCGTCGTCCCCTTTGCCATGATCATATCCCTTGTCACCGCCGTACCCTTTTATGCCATCTTGACCACCGTGATACCCATAACCACCACCTTCCGATCTAAGGAAGAGTTTAGTCAAGGAAACCTAAACACTTGCAGCCATACTTCTTGGGACCCTGATGGTCTATGTCCTTGTCCTTGTCGTGCCCCTGCTCGGTGGGAGCAGCGATGGCCAATGCGACGAAGAGAAGAACGACGGAGGCAGAGAATTTCATGGTAAGGCTTCGAAGATGTTAACTCGAGTGTAAACTTGAGATGCAGAATATCAGTGGGCTCCAAGGTCTTTATAGCATTTCAGGCTGCCAGACTTGGATGCGATGCGTTCTCAGGTGGGAAACCGGTAGGTGGATTCCAAGCGGATAACACAGGGCTAAGATGGGCTTAGGGACCTCAATGTTCTTCGTAAGGACCTCAAGCGCGAGACAAGCATTCGCTAATAACGCGACTTGTGGAGTAAAATGGGGTAGCTGTTCATTCGGGTCGGGTCAACTGGAATAATCATCCTAACGAGGCGGGATCTAGGCCATGGCCGACAGGGATAGCGCAAGTGAGATTAAACGGGATGCCAGTGGAACCCAGCTCACAGTTGACAAGAATAGAGTGGTGTTGAGATTGAACGGGGTGCCAACTTGCTCGGAAGGGTAAGGTGCAGCACGGTCTGTCAGTTATTTTCGTCATGGG